ACTGTAAGTACGTTTTCATATTTAAAGGATTTGCCACGGACTATTCAAACGCGAGTTTTGAGCAGTGTAGAGTAGCGCTTGTTGTTTGTCATTTCTTACGCCTATTACGCCGGCGCGATGCAATGCAACGCGTAAAAAGACAGTATAAGTCATTATAATCAGTAATTATGTCCCCACTGCATGCAACAAATGCCTCGTTTATAATGGGTTTTAATGTTTTTGTCTCGTCACTCCGGCCGGGACACAGCATCACAGTATGGTAAGGGGCGTAACATTTCCATCACACGCTTGAGGTATTCGGCCAATCACAATGCACTGGATAGCTGGCCAATCACAGCACACCTCGCTTTTCAGACCGATGAGCTTTGTAAAAATCGACGCGTTTCAGAAAGGCGGGGCATAGAGGAGAAACAATAATGTACAGTATGTGGAAAATAATGTGTTTTTTTTAACCTTAAACCGCATAAACACATTTCATTACTCAACTCGACTCAACTTTACTTTGTCATTCTTCCACATACACAGTATACAGAAGAACGAAATGTTGTTTCTGACGGACCAAGGTGCAAAGACACTGACAAAACAAGTATACACACGTTTTCATGACAACAGGGATCAGACATAAGAGCACATTAAATATAACGAGCAATAAACATGATGAGCACAATAAATATAACAAGGCAGAAGTGTTAAACGAGGTAGAGATGTGAAATTGCAGGAATGTAAGAAATGTTAGAAGTGTAAGAATAAAGTGCTTGTGCACAATTGAGGTGGCTCAGAGCAGATATTACACCAAATACACAAAATAATGTTCTTTTTAGCAACATCATATGACCCCTTTAAAGCAAATCGCAACCTGTATGGCACATGCAATAACTTTGCAGCTTCATTGAAACTTGTCAAACGTTAAGTTGGCCGCTGCATCACCTTGCCTGAAATATACATTGTTTGACCTATTACTGTCAGACTAAGAGAAACTCCTAACTCGCGTGCTTTCCACCCACATATTCCAACCGTCAGTCAGATATTCCAGTCATGTGGGCAGGCTTTAGTTCGGCCTTTAGAGGTCAGGTTCACACGAGGCTGTATAGAGCTGAGCTCACACTAAAGACATCTTTGTTCCGTTGACCTCACAAATCAACAGCCCATAATTATAAAAGAAAGCCCTTGTAGCCAGGCAGGCATTCCTTGTTTTTCCCCTTCACGTATGTGTCCAGTTTTTTCACTTTGTTGTTTTTGTAAATTGGAAACATATTCCTATTATGACTGATTCTGCACGATAACGTCCCAAATGAATCATGTGTTCTTGCTCAATATATGCACACACTTACATGCAGCCACAGATGTGCTTTGATCCGTTTCTTAACTCTGTGTCTCGAGTGAGGGAAGCGAATGTTCGAACAGACAAAGACAGCACATCTACTCGCTCTCTGGCCCTTTGCTCATGTTCCCTGGTGCTTGTCCAAGCCAGCGCCATGCTCTTTTGGCGGCAGATTTGTCTCTTTCGGTGAAAGACAGGAAGAATTAGAGAGGAAAATGGAGAGAGGGGGGTGGATGTGGGCCGAAATCACTGGCCCATGCTTAATGGGTCACCGCAGGGCAATGTGAATGAAGTGTTACAAGCGTTACTCATACGGTCTTTCTGTTGTTAGGTCACCAAAGAAGACTTCATGACTTTTGATCACATCCTCTGCATGGACGAAAGCAACTTGAGGTACGTGCAGGGGTTCAATTGGTATTTTGGAGGTGGGAAAACCATAAATCTGGTTATTCTGGTGCCTTATGTAAGATAAAACACTCTCGCCCAACCCCAAAAGCATTACCTTAAAATTTGTATTATACAATGTGTTATGATATATTAAAAAAGAAAAAAACGTATCAAACAATATAAGTCTTTACTATCACTTTTTTTTATCAATTTAACACATCCTTGCTGAATGAAAGTATGTTTCTTTCAAAATTAGAAAGAAAAAAGTTTACTGAAACCAAACTTTTGAAAAGTAGTGTTTATTGTTACAAAAAATGTTTCTTTTAAATCAATGCATCAAAGAATCCTGGAAAAACCTATCACAGGTTCCAAAAAATATTAATCAGCCCAACTGTTTTCAACATTGATAATAAATCAGCATATTAGGATGATTTCTGAAGGATCATGTGACACTGAAGACTGGAGTAATGGCTGATGAAAATTCAGCTTTGCATCACAGAGATAAACTATATTTTGAAGTATATTAAAATAGAAAACTGTTACTTTAAATTGTAATAATATTTCACAATATTACTGTTTTATCTGTATTTTTGATCAAATAAATGCACCCTTGATGAGCAGAAGAGACTTCTTTAAAAACATTAAAATTCTTACTGATCCCAAACTTTTGAATGGCAGATAGATAGATAAATGCTACCGTTCAAAGAAATGAATACTTTGGTTCAGCAAGTACACATTAAATTGATCAAAAGTGACAGTTAACATATTTTTTTATTGATACAAAAGATTTCTATTTTAAATAAATGCTGTTTTTGTGAACTTTTTATTCATCAAAGAATTCTGAAAAAGTGTATCATGGTTTCCACTAAAATATTAAGCAGCACAACTGTTTTCAAAATTGATAATAATACAAAAAAAAATCTTGAGAAGCACATCAGCATCACAGGAACAAATTACATTGTAAAATATATTAAAATAGAAAAGTGATTTTTTTTTAAATAATTGTATTAATATTTCCCAATTATACCATTTAACTGAATATTTATTTATTTATTTAACACTTTTTTTTTTGTTGTTGTTTTTTACACCGTTTTTTAAATATATTCCAAGATCTATATATTGTTAAATATTATAAGGCTATTCGTCTCTTGTCTATATTACTGGCTGCCTTTTACTTCTACTACTATGTGTTTCTGGCACTTTCTTGTTTTATCCTCCTCAAAGGGATATTTTGAGGAAACATTTGCTGAGAATTTGAGAAAAGTGGGACTGAGTTTGCTTCTCATTGTGTTCACAAGTACAAAAGTGATGAGCAGCAATGAGGACCTTGACATTTGCTGAGCGTAGGAAATGACTCCCACCTTATCTCTTAACCTGTCTTCTGTCATAAGTATGATGATTAATGATGAGTGAAACTGAGTGAATGAATTATACATTACATGGATCTGTCAACACTGCAGAATGCAACAAACATTCTGTGGCCGTACCTTATGAGTCTGATATGGGCAAGAAAATGAAGTAAAGGGGACAGGATGTGGGGGGATATTGTTGGAGTCACAAGTTCCTGCTGGAACCGGCGCTATAAAGAAGATTACTGAGTTCTTTAGATTCCTTGTCTTTGCTCTGTGGTTCTAGGTCTCAGCTTTTCTCTTCTCCGATGCTCAGCACGATGGACTGACACAATATCATCTCGCAGTCACGCTTAGCGATGATTGTCTGTCTTGGGTTAATCAGAGTTGAAAATATACACATGAAGTCATCAATTCTTGTATTTTTCCTTCTGTATTGTGACGTTATGTGTGTAGGTGTATGGTATTAATGGTTAAAGGTCTGAGACGTTAATTCTTAAGGTCATAGGTTCAGACCTGGAAGGGATGATCCCTGAACTGGAGAGTTAATGAGACCCCCTCCTGGTCAAGATGCCAGACCCCCATCACAAGTATTACAAGTGTGTCAAATATTCCTTGAGATTCCTGCATTCTGTGTTTATTCCTGTGATGCAAAGCTGAATTTTCAGCATCATTACTGCAGTCTTCAGTGTCACATGATCCTTCAGAAATCATTCTAATATGCTGGTTTGCTGCTCAGGAAACAGTTGTGCTAGTTAATATTTTTTTCAGGATTCTTTGTAAAATAAAGCATTCAAAAGAGCAGTATTAACTTAGAGAAATCTTTTAAACATAAATGTCTTAAATGTCAATTTTGGTAAATTTACTACACCCTTGCGGAATAAAAGTAATCATTTATTTCAATAATGATAAAAAAAATTTTAAAGACTTACTCGAAACTTTTAGTTTATAACTATATATATATATATATATGTGTACAAGTTTTACTGTTAAGTTGACACTGTATTTTTCTATCCATCACTGGAGCACTTTTAGATGCATAAACCCAAAGAGAAATATAAAACTATGGCTGTCAATAGAATAAAAATGTTGTAATTAATCCATGTTATTAACTATGAATTTTGCCCCAATAACTCCTACTTTGCTGCTTATCAATAGTTGGTAAGGTAGTTGTTACGTTTAGATATGAGGTAGGATTAAGGGATCTAAAATATGGTCATTCAGAATGAGGCATTAATATGTGCTTTATAAGTACTAATATGCTAATAATATGAATGCTAGTTATTAGTGAAAATTGGTCCTTAAAATAAAGTGTTACCATTTATCTATATTATTTTATTTTTTCACACTATTTTTCTCTCAAGTTTGAAAACTAGAGAGAAAGAGGATCTGTGTGTGTTCAGACAACCCACCGACTCATTTGAAGATATGTAGTTTTGCACATCCTTAGTAGTTATTGTTTGTTTTTAATATCCTTGTTGTTCATGATTAGTCACACCAGCTATCGCTACCTAGGCACTGTTATGTGTTATGAATAATTAATTTTTTTCAGCTGTTTGGTGTGTGTTGTAATGTCTTGCTCCTGTGAGACTTGCAGAAAGAACAGTCAGATCCTGTCAAGTTTCATTGCTGCTTAAATCATATTCCTGAATTAGTCTGAAAGAAAAGAAGAGATCGCACCACTGATATGAATCAGATTATGAATCAGTCCATTGGCTGCACAGGATCTAAAGTTTATGTGTGTACGGTTTTCTTACAGAGATCTGAACAAGAAGGCAAGCAGCGTGAAAAACAGCAAAGCCAAGATTGAGCTGCTCGGCTCCTACGATCCTGAAAAACAGCTTATTATCCAAGACCCGTACTATGTAAGTGTACACACATGCACACAGCAGGATCAGCCCCAATCCCTGGTCGTTTATTGCCAAATACTCAATCAAAGTGGCAAAAGGCCCAAAATAAAATTTATATGATATCTTAGGGTTCATCTGACACTCACTATTCCAGCTCAGTCCGACTCCAGCTGTTAACTAGTGTGGGAACCGCTTTGGATCAACCTAATATTAGTAGATTATTTCGATGTTTCCCACAACAATCACTCCCTTTTAACATTTCTTCTTGTATGATTCATAATGATTCATATTTTCACATTTTGGATATTACTTATTTGGATGTTGAAATACTTCTATCCAAGGTTAATGTGACAACTGTAGGTAAGGCTGCTTTTCTCAAAGACTTGAGAATCCTGACTAGTCTGTCTTTGACAGACAGCATTGACTTTTTGCATTTTCATGCTAGTAGTGCATGCTAGTAAGGGTCCTCGTGTATTCAGAGCCGTATGACTTTCTTTCTTGGAAGACAAAAAGAGGATTTGTTTTGAGAACGGTTTGCTCTTGTCCATGCAGTTACAGTGAATTGGTGCGTTCAAATCATTTCAGAAAGGTCATATTTACAAGTTGAACGCACATGAGCAGCACAGCAAAGATGTAATTACGAGTGGGGAACTTTCTTTAAGCCCAGAGTTTCCGAATTGGGGGTGTATCAGTGAGAAAATATTGTAGATGCAATAAATGCAGCGTCTCTGTAAATTTGTTGAAATGAATTAAATCATAATTTTTTTTCCAATTACAATAAACCTAGCTAAGTCACGTACAAAATACCATAGTATTGTACCATTATGATAGAATATATAATGATTCCATTTACAGTACCTTCATAAATTGAATATAAATGGAAAAAGCTAAAGTTTTATGAAGTGGATGAGCTGATTCATTGAAAAGATCCGACTCAAGAATCCATTTTGAGTTGATTGAATCAATCAGAATCAAGAACCAATCAGACATTGCTCATGAATTGGACATATTTCTATAATGAAGTTTCTTTAATGAGACCTAGGGTGAAGATCAGGATTTTCAGTGAATAATGACTAAAGATTTGGAATATAGCACACACGTTGTATGGACCACTTTTATGATGATTTTGCATCCTTTTTGATGAGAGATTTAGCTAGGGCTGGGCAATTTTGCAGATTTTATTGACTAATTTGAATATACCGGTAATGTTTTGCCACGATTATGTTTTTCAAACCGAGGAGTTGCAGTTTCATGCGTGGGACACTGCAAAAGACACAAGCGCAACACGTCATGGAATAAACAATGGAAAAGCAAAGACTACTACTGTATGTTTGATATTTCATATTTGCATGATGGTGACAGGCTGAAAGGCGCTGTTATTTTTGTTTTACATAACATTTAATAGTCTACTGATGTTAAACTTTTAGGCATTTTTCATTGAATTGTTTTGACTTTTTGAGTTGACCTCTAAAACTGAATGTCTTTTTTGGCTAAGAAATATTTAGCATTTTTATTATTTTATATTATTTCTGAACATATAGAACATGTTGAAGACAAGTTTGTACAATATTTGTCTTCATATCTCATATTTCATATTTAAAAAGTCGTTTGTTTTATGTTGTAGGGCTGGGTTTTTTGACACAAATTTCACAATTCGATTCAATATCAGTTATTTTGGATATAAATCAGGTACAGGACATGGCACATTTTCTCAAGGAAAAAAAAAATCTCTCAACTAATGCTGTAAAATATACCTTGAGCGTCAATAAGGTTGAAATTTGCTGGTTTGTATACAAACACTTAAAATATACTCAATACAGTTTTTATAATATTAAAGTTATAATACTAACTTTAACTTTAAATTACATAATTATATTTCTACTCCAATTCGTTTTTTGAAATATAAACATTTAAATGGTGGTTGTCAATTAAATTAAATTAATTAAATATCGAAGAACAGTCAAAAAATTATAATGAATATGTTATATGGTACATATTTAGCAAAATGCTCTTCTCTAGAGTTCATTTTTCTAGCTGACTAAATGAGTTCATGGTCACCGAATATGTTTTTCTGTGGTAAATGTGACGTTACATGACAAGCTATTGTCATCTTCCCGCGTTTGAAACACTGATTTAGCAATTACATGAGACAGGATACAGATTTCGGTAAGTTGTACTCTTTCCTTTAACATACATTCAGATGTTTATTCATGTTTATTTCATGCTGTAACTGCTATTAAAGTGGAGGAGACGATCAGTTCACAGCGATCTGTCACTCCACATTAAACCGCGCCAAAATGGCATTTAATAATAGCTTATTCCAATTTATAGGATGGGAGGCGCGCTACAATGTTCCGTTCATTATCTGACAGGCTAGACTAATTGATTCTTGGGATTTATGAATCGATATCGTTTCATAAAACTGAGAATCTATTAAAATCGAGAAATCAATATTTTTTTTCCTAGCCCTACTATGTTGACCACTTCATATGTGGTGCACTTGGAATAGAACTTTCTTTAACCAGATGGTTAATAAAGAGAATGTTACTTGAATCATGTTGTAATAACATTAAGTTGACTACTTAAATGGTAAGAAATCAAAATCTTGAATCGTTCAAACATTCTGAAAAAATCTAGATTTTATTTTTTGCCATATTGCCCAGCCCTAGCTTTAGCCCTCCTTCTATTGTTATTGCATGGAAAAGAGCGTCCACATTATTCAATACATCTCCTTTTGCGTGTCATGGAGGACAGTCATATGGGTTTGTAACGTCAAGGTGAATAAATGATGCCAAAATTGTCATTTTTGGATGCACCTTTTAACAATTAGGTCAAAACTCTGGATGAATCTGTGGTTTTTCTACATCTGTTAATGTGAAGCCAATGTAAGGGTATTATTTAGTGTTTTAAACAGAGGTGTTTAGTGTCACAAACACTCAATTATGACAGAACGGTTGATTTAGCCAACATATAAAACCACAAAACTGATGTTTGGAGGGAAGCATTGTCGATTATGAGAGATGATAGGGAGGGCCCGGGTTTGTGTGTTGGGAAATAGAAAATGGAAAGAACCTGATGGGCCACCTCAGCTGAGATCATTAGCATTCCTCCTCCAGACACTGTCAGGTTATCCCGCTCACACCACCAGCTCTCCAAGACACATCTGTGAAGATCAACAAACTCGCTTTTCGGCGAGAGGATGACTAAGGACTGATTCAGGGCACATTTTGAAGAAGTTTCGCTAGGCTGAAGGCTGAAGGCTGAAGGCTGAAGGCTTCCAGCGCATGTGTGTCACAGCCATGCTAAGGTTGTTGAAGATAATCCTGGAAGGTATAACGTTAGATGTTTCCTCTCTAGTGTTTCTTCATGGCTGACAGCCAGCTGGCTGAAGTAGGTAGGCCTTTCTACCATGTCAGAATAGGAAACTGGCCTCTTAGTCGGACAGTTCGCCAGCCAGATACGCTTGTGGTGATGATCACTCTTCAGATAGCTGAGATTTCCTGTTTAGTCCCCCAAGATTCAAGTGTGAGAGGAAGTGTGGTCCTTTGAGTGCAGTTTCTTTTGATGGTGATGGTACATTGTGTGTCCAAAGATGAGATCCACGGCTATTTTAGCATTTGAACTTCTCAAACTGAGCTAATAGAAGAGCCTGATGGTTAACCGTTATTGTTAACAAAAATGAAACTATTAAATATCGATTTTGGTAACTGACATAAAATAAAAATATAAATATTAGATGACAAAAGTTAAACTTATAAACATAAACGAAAATGAGAAATGTTGCCTTGGCAAATGAGATGAGAAGTCAAAGCACTAAAATTACTAAAACTGAAATAAAATAAAGCTAAATATACATTTAAACAAAATGACAAAAGCACATACAATTTAAATGAAAACTGAAAATGTAAGAAATAAAAGCCAATTCAGAATAGGAATAAATACTATAATAGTATAAATAATATTAAAACAACACTTGTGGAAAGCCTTTATTATATTTTTTGCATGCTCTGTCATATTTTTATTCTTCCATATTGCAGTTTATTGCAGTCTATAGAAATGTTCATTTCTTCTATTTTTTTACTTTTAGATTTAGATTTAACTTTTACATCATCTAATGCTCACTTAAGTTCATTTTTAAAAACACCATAAAACAGACTATTGGAGAACGTTTTACAAGATAATAGTATTTCAGTCTTTCTACTTCAAAATGTTACATTTAATTCCGTGTGCTACTTGCATTTTTTTTTTTTTTTTATGAAATTTACTATCAATTGCTCAGTGAAAACTGTTTAAAAGTAAATACTACAACAACAACAAATTTCACTGTACATTATGATGCCTACATTCACTTTAAAACAACTGATTATAGTTTTTTAGTGTTGCTGTTGCTTCTTTAGCTCAAATTAGGCAAAAAAAATGTATTGTTTTGGTCCAGTACTGCTAAGGCACATAAGCATTCTAGAGAAAAGGTAAGGCTGTAAATTAGAGCTAAAGCTGCTGTTTAAATCAGTTACCAATACATTTCAGCTCTACTGTCTTTTGATCATTCTTAAGTTCGCATATGTCTGTTGCTGCTATGCTTGGCTGTATAATTTCTGTTTACGGTTACATTTGAATGGTTTCTGTTTGTTTTCGCCTGCAGGGGAGTGATAAAGACTTTGAGACGGTGTATGAACAGTGTGTGAGATGCTGCAAAGCCTTCCTGGAGCAGCACTCATAACACACACACACACTGTGACCATCTCCTGAAACCCACGACGCCTCATCATGAGATGCTCGAACGTAAATAATAATCGATTGAAATATTGATCAAGTGTCTTCATAAGCAAAACACACAAACCAAACGATAGCAGTGTATAGAGAAGCACTTTGTCTTTAATTGTAAAATAAGTTGTAATGTCATGCGAAGCTTGTTTGAGCAGCTGTAAACTGCTTTTGCTGACCATACCTTCTGAAGAGAGTAAATTCACCTAAATAAACCGGTTGGAAATGCTGAAATTACGTTCGCCTGAAATTCTATTTCCTCCTCACACACCGACAGTTTTTAGCAAATTTTTAGTGCATATTTATGGCTTTACCTCGCATTTCTTTGAAAATGACTGTGGTTGTGCCAGTTCTGATTACTTGTCCTTTCCTCTCTCATTCATCCTCTTCATCCTTTTGGGAAGATATGTATTTATTAACAGAAGTTGACTGTTATCTTTGGTGTGGTTACAAAAAAATTCAATATCTCTGAAGCATCCAAAGCATCCACCATGAGTGATAAGAGATCTTGAACTCCCTTAAAAATATATATTTTCTGATGCCAAGATAAGCTGTTAAACTAGATAGAGGCTGTTTTATGCTGCAGAAGATTGACCTTTACATTTTTTGGTGTATTTTTACAACATTAAAGACCACAGTGTTTAAACAATCATAATTTATTTAAATATATTTTCTTTTAAATATACACATCCCATCGTATGTCAGATGCTTATATGTTTTGTTATAGGGATTTTTAAGTCTCATTTGTACAACATTTACATATCAAAATATATTGAATATATTCCACAGTCATACACTCATAGTCTCACACAAAAACTAAAAGCTTTTGGTCACAGATTTACTGCAAAAATCTACCTGTCTGCTGGCAAACAGAAGCAAAAGGAAACGTTCATGCAATTAATGATTTTCAGTTCTAGCACCGAGAAAAGCAAAGCTCTCTCGTTGCCGCGAACTAACTCAATTTGTCATCGTGGCTCTGAATTGTAACCCCATCGAGGCATGTCGTGCGAAACATCAGCAATGACGAGTCTCGATAATCTGATATCGAAACGCAAAACCATGGCTATCCCTTTTTCATGATGAAACGATGGAAAAATGGTTTTCTTTTTTGGCAGACAGGTTCAGAACGCACTATGCCAGATACGTTTTCTGTTTTCTTTCTCTGTCGTCCTGTGTTTTAACATTGGCTCCATGTTGAGTCCATCAGACTGTCCTTGGGCAAGTGCATCCCATTATTCCGTGTCCGTTTACTTCTCTGTCAATACTTTCCCACATCTATTCTCCAGAGAGGCAGAGCAGTGTTCTGGACGAGATGTGCTGATTATGTGGATTGTTGTGTGTTGGTTTAAATTCTCTTCTCTTGTCCAAAGGCACTTTGACTGCTGTTTTTTTTTTTCCTTGGGTCACTCTGGTTTGGCTTCAACCTGCTTGATAAAGGAAGTGAAGTTTAGTGCTGTTTCAGACTTGGCTGTGTTCGCATACATGTGTGCACTTGGATGCATCTGTGAAAAATTGGGAAACAGGTTTTGTTACATGTGCTTCCTCTGAAGTGGTCTTTGGGGGGGGAAAAACCCACCATGAAATGTAAAGCACTGACTTAAGTTTGTTTACATGCTTAAATCACATCCTATTTGCTAAGACACGCAGGTTTATCTGTAATAGCTTGGATAAGTTATCTAATCCTAGAATGTGTTCTCAGTCATAAAAGCTTTAAGTGCATGTGTCCTCTCTGAATCTGCTAAAATCAGTTTTGATGTACTTATGTACAACACCTACATAATATTAAATATCTATCTTTGCGTCATATCCAGTTTTGGACATTTTTCATAAATTCTAGTCCAATCTAGAATTTTTTAGAATAATTTACACAGACTTCACTTATAAGGAGTGCAGTGCATATATTAACTTTTTAAATTGGTGTGTGTATATACACACACACACACACACACACACACACACATATATATATATATATATATAACTTGAAATATTGTACAGTGTGTGTATATATATATATATATATATATATATATATATATATATATAGGATTGATTTATATTTATCAAAATTTTGTGATTTAGAAATTTAGACCGTTTCATTCATTTTTGCGATCTTATTCATTTTAATGACTTTTGTAGGGCCGTGGGATTCCTGCATATCCCATTCTTCCGGTCTTCTCCAATTTCTTACTGAATTGTCTGCATTCGAGGAGAAAAAAGTTTTAAAAAGTGTCTTACCTGGTACAGTTAACCCTCTTGACATCTCGGACTCCCTGCCAGTCGCGTCAAGAGTCGTGCGCACCTTTTGTAGTCTGAGGACAGGAGTAAAGCTGGATGAGTTGGATAATCAGTTGGATGAGTCCTGAATTTGTAGTCTATACTGTTTCTGTGTTAAAACTCCATGTGCAGGGGTAAATCAGGGGCACCTAGCCAACATGAGACTGTCATGAATATAAAGACCGTTTGTTGAGGGTCCGTGGTGCATTTGGGCAGAGATGTGACCTGTTTGTGGGGTCTGAAGAGATGGGAATGCGTGACTGTACTCACATGCAGGGATGGTGCAGTCTCTGGTGTTATGATAAAGCCTGTAGACGTCCTTCCTGCATTTTGGACTGAAATAAAGAGGACCTGGTGGAAGGAAAACAGCCAGGTTAAAATTCTCAAACACCATTTTGGTTTCAAGGTCACAGAAAACTCTAAAGTCTCTCACCTGTTAAGACTTTGATAACCTTCTCTTTCTTTCTGAGGTCTCTGGGAAAGATTTCTGCGAAAAGAAAGAAACATTCAAAAGGTCAAATCCTGGATATCCACTGATCCTTCAAGAGGGATGATTCTGAAGCTCAGACAAATCACTCAGCTCAACATTCCTCAGCAATGAACATGCTCTGACTAAGAGGTTTAGACCCTGAAACAAGCTTTCTGTAAACATTATGACCACTTATTCTTAGTATCCAACACACACTCGCTAATATTATAACTATACAGTGTTTCTGCTTCTGTCTTATATCATAAAATCTTATGTAGGCCAGAGACTACTGACCTAACTGGGAATCGCTGACCACCAATACCACATGTCTGACTCGGCACACAACAGGTGCAATGCAAAACTATTTCACCTAATGCTTTGAGAGTTAAGACTTTGGCTCGTGCCCTAGTGGGTAAGTCACATCCGTCTTAAATAAAGGTCAAAGAAAAAGAAGGCATATAGAGTGGCCACACTTTCATTGCATCAAATGATGCAAGAGCTTTTCTCTGAACTAGCTTCACTTTTATAAATCTTTTTTTGCAATGACTTTTAATCATCATGGTTCCAAGGTGATGCATGGAGTCAGTTTCTCAGTAGGAAAATGGACATGTTCCACTAACGTTTCACAACCAGAATGAGACATTTTGGCTTAACTTTGAACGTTTTATCATTTAAAACCAATTTTGTGTGAAACATTTGGCTTAAAAATGTTGTGCTTTCTTCTTTCAATTCAATTTCTAATTCATTTTCAAATGAATGTCACTTGCCACGTTTTACTATGCAATATATTAACATTCCTACATTTTTTCTGTGCATTTAATGCGCTGCTTACTTAAAATTGTTTCCCCGGTTTCCGTTTTGAGACGATGAGTGTCCTTTGGCACGCTCGCGTCGTCAACGCTGTTTTCCGCCAGTCTCATGATGTCCGTTATCCGTCTGAACGTTTTCTCGACCTTGTTCGCGCTGGCGTCGCTTTGTGCAGTAGTGCAGATTAACATGACGAGCCCCATTACTAGAACCGGAGCCCGCAGCGCGCGCATCGCTCCCGAACTGCCCAAGTCCTGGATCACGCAGTCTGGTGAAGAAGTAACAGGGTTTATAAGATGCAAAAGTCCACTTTATGTTAAAAATAAACTTTGGAGGCTTTTACGATTTCTTAAAAAAAAAAAAAGAAGAAGTGCTATTAACACTTTCACTACCAGTCAGCATGGACACACCTACACGTTCGTTTTTACTGCAATAGTAAGTCATCAAAACTACACATTTTCTTCATTAAGTGCTGTGGTGCTTTTAAACACCACTGAATGACCTCACATGTATGCTGAGCACTTGTTGGCTGATTTTCCTTCACTAACGTGCTCCAACTCATTTAAAAATAAACCAGTCAAGACGTCAGCTTTATAAATTGATAAGTAGGCACATTTTATATTAGTCCACAGGTCTATTTCTCCTCGACAGCAATAACACTACATGAAGAGCAAACGAAAAACGAAAGTCTCCTGCTCCTCAGAAACTCCTCAGTTTCTCCTGAGAAAGAAGCCCCAGAAGCTCACACGTGTCTCTCAGTTACAGATTTCAACAATGTCTTCAACTGTGCACACATGCGCAAAGATACCCACATCTACAATTAAAAGTCTCAATATGAACTCAATACATTCTTCCAAGACCAAATAATCTGATGCAAATGGATTTTATAGTCCATATTCGTACTATGTTTTTCACGTGTAGCTATGTCTTCTTGGAGTTGTATTGAGAAATAAACAAGACATTCGATATAAATGATCACATCATTAATGTTGCTTGTGCAATAAACTAAATTCAGTTGTGTATGTCCAAACTTTGACTCGTGGTGTAGATCAATTAACTGGTTAAACTACCAAACTAAACTACTAAGCATCACATCCCATAGAAGCGCATTGATTATCTGCTCATTTACAACCCACTTTGTATATAAAGAAAACAGTTCCGCTGAAAAAGCTTTTAAAGTTAGGGGTGTTATGATAAAAATGTTTAAAAAAAAAGAATCCGCATAGCTCATAAATGCTTATATTTGTGTGGATGGATGTAGTAAACCTACCTGAGGGCGCTTGTGTCGCCGCGTTTCTTTCCCTCAGTCGACACAGCCTGAGGCGACTGAGCGTCCGGTGCCTATTTAACCCCACGCGAGGCTCGCAGAACGCGCTGGGAAAGAGAGAGAGCGCTACCCTTTAAAGCGAATCGTTCTTTAATGTGCTCAAGCGTGGGAAGTTATAGTGGTCAGACTTCCTTCTGATGTTTCCGAGACTTGAGAAAACTCCAGTCAAAGCTCCTGAGGACGCTGTGCGCGCGCGTCTTCAACGCCTCGAGACATTCGCCGTCGATTCTCGTCAATTTATTGGGGCTCTCAGACGGAAGGAGTCGTCCCTCGAGGACTTACATCGCCGTGACTTTAATTATAAACTCGTTACACATACGCCGCACATCTTCATATTCCCGTTTGTCACATGCAGCATCCCATGGACTTTTTTTTTCTTGTCTACTATCTCATTAGAGCACTTAGAAAGCTGCGCTTGCAGGAAGAGATGCAGCTATACCAGGAACTGTCCCACTATTCTACAGACTGGAACTCCTATGGTGCCTGAAAGTCAGGTTTTTCCCCTCACACAACACCATAGATCACCATTTCATCCCCTTGTATCTCCAGAGGATTGATTCGAGTTACAGATCAATGCCTGGAAGTGGCTGCAGCTGATGTAATTATTCTGCGTAATGGTAATGATAGCACAAGAGAAACAGTCAGCCCAACAGACAGGAGAAAAGTGAGTTCGGATTAGTTTGTGTTTGCTTTGGTTCATACCACTCCCTCAAAGCAAAAGAGAACATGGAGCAATCTGGCTCCCATCCCGGACACGAATGGTGATCTGCATGGGCGGACTCGGCGCTAGGCAAAGGTAGGCAGCTGTCTAGGGCCCCTTGAAGTCAATTAGACCAACACCTAACACCATAAGGGTTCACAGTCTTGCGCAAAAAAATCAAACCTGGACATTGAGGAGAACATGATTAGGGAAACATGAGGAGGGCCCTGTTTGCTTACGGCATCTGAATTGGTGTGCTTTTTATAACAACATAACATTATCCAGTTAAAACTTTGTCTTCTACTGTTTGGGAATGTTTACATGGAAACAGCTTAATGTGTGTGGTTATCTTATCAGGGAAGTGCTCGTAAAGGCAGGTATACCTGATGGTATAAAGTGATTACACTACAGATATCATAAAACCCTTTTCTGTACAGTGAAACCTAGAGAATATCGGTCAGCCTAGTGGTTGAAGATCTAGATGGGTATCTGAAAGGTTGTATAGGTTCATTCCATTCAAAAAGACATTTAAAACATAGTTCACTCATAAATGAAACCTCATTTGTCCTCATTTACTTACTGTCTTCGTTTACTTTCCCCCATGTCGCTCTAAACCTGTGTAACCCTATATATGATGTGAAACCAAAAAAGAGATATTTAGCAGAATGTTGATGCTGCTTTACATAGCATTATATAGGATGTCAAGCTCCCCAAATCAGCATAAAAGCAGTTCATGCAACAAAATCTAACATTTTGTGTGAGGTTTTATGTGCCAAGTTAAAATATGATTATTCGCAAATGATATTTGTGAATTACAGCAGAAATAAGATATAATGGTGGGTTAAACACTTTGCATTGCTAACAACATAACTAACAACAAGCATACAATTTAAATAAAATATCATAAAATATGATGGGTCATGCAGCGAAATGTCACCTGGAAACACTTGAAAACATTTTTAAAAATATGATTATTATTATTACAACTGTAAAATTGTAATATATATTACTTTATATGCTATAAGGTAAATTACAGTTAAATAAATACTTTATAAATGTATACTTTAGTAATTATTATTTAGAATTAATAAATACATAATTGTAAGAGTGTATAATTTTTCCATTTTTTCCCATTCATTTTCTGTTTTTGGGTGAACTGTTCCTTTAAGCTGCTGAAGGGGTGCTGTTAGAAACTTTATTTAGGAATTTCAAATACAGTACAAATGAGTAACTTAGGAACAGGAATTGATGGAAATTATGCCTCCTCTACATCTTTTAGTCTCAACTCTTCTTGACCTGCACAAAAAAAAATAAATGAATAAATAAAAGATAAAACATGAGAGAACTGTAAATATCTGTAAATGTATAATTCAAACATGCCACTCAAAGGATTCCCCCATAAATCATTGAAGTGTTTGGAAGGGCAAACACCAGGCCTCATCAGAATAGATTTAGCTGTAAGCAAACAAAGCAAGAGGAATGAGTTAAACTTAAAGGGCAAGTTCGCTGATTTTCAACCAGCTTTGTATTGTTACAATGTTGGTTGTATAAAAAAAAATTAACAATGTGTATTGTTTTTCCTTGCAACCTGCACCAAGATCCCGTTTATTTGTCAGCAAAAGTCTGCCAAATAATGTAATATGTGGCTTTTGTGAAGACTACAGATCATACTTCTGGATTTTTGTATCCTCACTCATGGATAGTCTGATCGAACCCAGTGCATTATGGGTGTTGAAGTTTTCCTACCTTTTTCAGCCCTTTTCTCTTTTTTTCTCCATTAATGTAGCACCAGTTAAAAATAAAAAAATAAAAAAATTGTTTATATTGCACAGACAGCCAACTTTTATTAAAATCCCATCTTGCCAGTTGTGAATTACCCCTTTAATTGAAATGATGGCGTTCTTACGTCATACTTTGCATAAGTTTGTTTGCACTGCAGTGTGCCAAACATTTCTTTTTTTCTTAATCTGAAATGTCCAAATCTCATTATAGCAGTTGGAATAAGGTTTTGTCGATGAAAAGTGTTCAATCTAATAACAGAGACTTTCACCATAGGAGTTTTCTCTTCATTGCATCTGCTAGAGTCCTTCTCAGACTTCCCATCTGGTTTGTCTGTTTATCTTCCTTTGTCCTCTCGGCTCTGAAATAGACAACAGCTTCTTCTGCTAGAATTTGTATGCTGAAGTTTTTTTTGTTTTTTTTTTTACCACTTGGGGATTCTTTAAGTCCAATCATTTTTTTTTATTGTGTTCTTTTATTTCACGTTGGCTGAACTTCTTGTTTATGGAAATGTACTTCTCTGCAATATACACAGCTCTGTTGGTAAAATTGACATAAATCTCTTTTTTTGAATGGCTGCCATATTAATGGTTGGTGTTTTAAAGTAACAAATACATGACAAGCTATCCATCCCTTCCTATATTTTATTTTCCTTTTCTTCAAGGAAGACAATTGCATGTAGACAGTGGCCAAAGTTAGCTTGGCAGACACACTTGACAATCTGTTTTTTTATCTTTGGCTTTGTTCACTTAGCCCTACACCTCTTGGAAGCTCTTTGAAAAAGCATTTACAAGACAAATTAGGCTATGTTTAGGTTAAATGGATGTCGGTGAAGATGTGTGGGTTTTTGTTTGCTACTTTGTTTATCTCTACAATGAGAGCCTTTTTGTAACCAAGGTAAAGTACACTGGCATCAAAACAATACTTGTCCTTTGAACAAGATGGATTATTCCATTTCATTGCATTTGATTGATTCTATAATTACCTGTAAACTGTTAATAAAACAATCAAAAATGGAAGCCCATTTCCAGTCAGAATTGTGAGAACAAAACAATATAGTATAACAATTACTATATATATATATGTGTGTGTGGTGTGTGTGTGTGTGTGTGTGTGTGTGTGTGTGTGTGTGTGTGTGTGTGTGTGTTTATATCTTGCAATTCTGACTTTTTTCCTCACAATTCTGACTTTATTTCAAAAGTCCAAATGAATTAAATATAAAAAATATATGTCAGAATTGCGAGATATAAACTCACAATTGTGAGATATAAAAAAAGAATTCTTTAAAAAAAAAAGCAGAATTGTGAGATATAAACTCACAATTGCGTGAAAAAGAAGTCATAACTATATGAGATAAAAAGTTAGACAGATAAAAACTTTTTTATATTTTATTTCATGGCAGAAATGAGCTTCGATAGTAAAGCTGTATTGAAGATATATTTCAAAACAAACTTAAATACAACCTGTCTAAATAAACAGCAACATCAGCGTCACATAATATTGCACGCATGTATTTATTTTTTTTTATACAGTTGTGCCCTTAGTCTTATTTACAGATGGATTTAAACTCTGTGCAAAGTGCCTATAGGTGTGGCTCCCCGGGAACTCAGGTGTATTAGATACATACTAGGTGTTTAAAGTATTTGTGAAAGGCATGCGTGATCCTGCTGATTATTTACATGCATTATGAAATTGTCATATGGCATAGAATAACAGTTATGATTGATTACGTGTCAGAGGAGTCTTTTGTAAGACTTTGAGTTATAATCCAGCAGATAGACAGATTGAAGGATTGTTGAATGATGTCACACTGTCACTTCGGCTTTTATCTGTGAATTGTTTTCGTGCAGATGTGTGGTGCCGAGTGACAAAATGAAAGACGTGCTGTTTGCAGTTGCAACAGGTTTTTTTTTGTAACATATTTTAAACAACACTGCCAAATGTTTTGTAAAGTGTGTGTGTGTGTGTGTGTGTGTGTGTGTGTGTGTGTGTGTGTGTGTGTGTGTGTGTG